ACTGAAAGCGACCAATTACGCAGCACATTTCCACTTCCTGGGATCATACCACCGGGTCACTGAATGTCTATATAATAATAATAATAAGAATAATAAAGAATTCAGATTGCATTATAAAAAAATGTAGGCGAAATTCAACTTAGTTGCTCTTCCATATAACTAACTCCTTACAAAAAAACAGCAAACGCATAAACAATTTTCCAAAAATATATTATTATTTTAATTTTGGATAATCACAAAATGATATCAAGTAATCATAAGTATCTATAGATTTTCTTTTCCTCAATGATGGTAAATAGGACTTGACAAGTCTCCTGAATGAATGGTCTGAATTATCTAATTTCATATGGTCGGGGAAAGAATTGTAACTACGTGTGGCTGCGTAACTATAAATCACGCTATCTAGTTGATGGTTCATGAATATATGAACCTTCAGTCAATTCATGTAATAAATACCAAGGTACCTCAGTATAGACTGTCGTCGATCATAATGATGATCGGCTTCATTTCCAGCAAGATGGAGCACCTCCTCACATGTTGCTCCGGTAAGATAGTTTTTAGGTGACCGGTTTCCTGGACGGTGGATTGAAAGGAGAGGTCCCATCGAATGGCCTGCCAGGTCACCTGATTTATCGCCTTTAGACTTTTTCCTTTGGGGACTCTTGAAAAATAAATGTTTTGCTATGCAGCCCGAGTCCATAGAAGATCTTCGCCAACGAATTACGGCAGAGTGCAGAAGTATAACACCTGATATGCTGCAGAATGTTAGGAATAGATTTGAACAAAATCTGTATTATTGTATGGAAGCAAATGGGTCACATTTTCAGCACTTGCTGAAGTAGGATTCTACTACGTCAATTACACATTTCAAAGTACTGGGTTGTAGTTGTTTTTCTTCATAATACCTACATGTTTGAGTGAAATACAACAAATTAGGTATCATTGGATAGATAATTTTGTGCCCTTTCAAATATCGTCCCCACTTTCCATTTAAAATTTTAGGGTTGTTACTCACCCTCGCTAGGGGGTTGAAGGCACAGGTAGAAAAATACATCTAAAATGTGTCCCCCTGAGAAGCAAAATTGACCTGTCCGAGCATTTTTGCGTTAACTTACAAAAAAAGAAGAAAAGCAAGGTGCATACTTTTCGTTGGACCACTCGATATATCAGTATTATAAACTTGAGAGGTTTAATGCTTTAACAATTTAAAGTTCCATAGGAGTGCTGAAAGTATCTATATGAATGTTTAGTAGTTTTGGCTTTGTCTATGACTTTCTGATTGGCTTATTTTCGTGTTTAATAAATTTGGTTCCAAATTTAAATAAATATAGTTTCAAAAAACTAAAAAACACGATTTCAAAGAACATGGAACTGAAAAGTTGAAAATATTTATTTTTTAAAAATAAGCTCAAACCAATAACGAACGAAAAATACTACGCTTTTTCACAATAATACTAGTATTTTTCGTTCGTTATTGTTTTAAGCTTATTTAAAAAA